AGTCGAGGTAATTGAGGTAATATGTACAGTGGGAAGAACAAGTATTTGATACACTGCCGATTTTGCAGGTTTTCCTACTTACAAAGCATGTAGAGGTCTGTAATTTTTATCATAGGTACACTTCAATAAAATGCAAATTAATTACTTAAATCATACAATGTGATTTTCTGGATTTTTGTTTTAGATTCCGTCTCTCACAGTTGAAGTGTACCTATGATAAAAAGTACAGACCTCTACATTCTTTGTAAGTAGGAAAACCTGCAAAATCGGCAGTGTATCAAATACTTGTTCTCCCCACTGTACATGTGGGTAGAGTTAAAGTGACTATGCATAAATAGGGGTGGGGTGGCAATGCAAATAGTCCGGGTTGCCATGATTAGCTGTTCAGGAGTCTTATGGCTTGGGGGTAGAAGCTGTTAAGAAGCCTTTTGGACCTACACTTGGCGCTCCGGTACTGCTTGCCGTGCGGTAGCAGAGAGAACAGTCTATGACTACTGTGGCTGGAGTCTTTGATAATTTTTAGGGCCTTCCTCTGACACTGCCTGGTATAGAGGTCCTGGGTGGCAGGAAGCTTGGCACCAGTGAAGTACTGGGCCGTACGCACTACCCTCTGTAGTGCCTTGCGGTCGGAGGCCAAGCAGTTGCCATACCAGGCGGTGATGCAACCAGTCAGGATGCTCTTGATGGTGCAGCTGTAGAACTTTGAGGATCTGAGGACCCATGCCAAATATTTTCAGTCTCCTGAGGGGGAATAGGCTTTGTTGTGCCCTCTTCACGATTGTCTTGGTGTGTTTGGACCATTATAGTTTGTTGGTGATGTGGACACCAAGGAACTTGAAGCTCTCAACCGGTTCCACTACAGCCCCGTTGATGAGAATGGGGGCGTGCTCAGTCCTCTTTTTTCCCCCTGTAGTCCACAATCATCTTTGTCTTGATCACGCTGAGGGAGAGGCTGTTATCCTGGCACCACACGGCCAGGTCTCTGACCTCCTCCCTATAGGCTGTCTCATCGTTGTCGGTGATCAGGCCTACCACTGTTGTGTCGTCGGCAAACTTAATGATGGTGTTGGAGTCGTGCCTGGCCATGCAGTCATGGGTGAACAGGGAGTACAGGAGGGGACTGAGCACGCACTCCTGAGGGGCCCCCGTGTTGAGGATCAGTGTGGCAGATGTGTTGTTGCCTACCCTAACTACCTGGGGGCGGCCCGTCAGGAAGTCCAGGATCCAGTTGCAGAGGGAGGGGTTTAGTCCCAGGGTCCTTAGCTTAGTGATGAGCTTTGAGGGCACTGTGGTGTTGAACGCTGAGCTGTAGTCAATGAATAGCATTCTCACGGTGTTCCTCTTGTCCAGGTGGGAAAGGGCAGTGTGGAGTGCAATAGAGATTGTATCATCTGCAGATCTGTTGGGGCGGTATGCAAACTGGAGTGGATCTAGGGTTTCTGGGATAATGGTGTTGATGTGAGCCATGACCAGCCTTTCAAAGCACTTCATGGCTACTGACGTGAGTGCTACGGGTCGGTAGTCATTTAGGCAGGTTATCTTAGTGTTCTTGGGCACAGGGACTATGGTGGTCTGCTTGAAAAATGTTGGTATTACAGACTCAGTCAGGGACAAGTTGAAAATGTCAGTGAAGACACTTGCCAGTTGGTCAGCGCATGCTCGGAGTACACGTCCTGGTAATCTGTCTGGCCCTGCGGCCTTGTGAATGTTGACCTGCTTAAAAGTCTTACTCACATAGGCTACGGAGAGCGTGATTACATAGTCATCCGGAACAGCTGATGGTCTCATGCATGCTTCAGTGTTGCTTGCCTCGAAGCGAGCATAGAAGAGATTTAGCTCGTCTGGTAAGCTTGTGTCACTGGGGATCTCGCGGCTGTGCTTCCTTTTGTAGTCTGTAATAGTTTTCAAGCCCTGCCAATCCGACGAGCGTCAGAGCCGGGTTTGTAGTACGATTCAATCTTAGTCCTGTATTGACTTTTTGCCTGTTTGATGGTTCGTCAGCGGGCATAGCGGGATTTCTTATAAGTGTCCGGGTTAGAGTCCCGCTCCTCTACCCTTTAGCTCAGTGCGGATGTTGCCTGTAATCCATGGCTTCTGGTTGGGGTATGTACGTACAGTCACTGTGGGGACGACGTCATCGATGCACTTATTGATGAAGCCAGTGACTGATGTGGTGTACTCCTCAATGCTAGCGGAAGAATCCCGGAACATATTCCAGTCTGTGCTAGCAAAACAGTCCTGTAGCTTAGCATCTGCGTCATCTGACCACTTCCTTATTAACAGAGTCACTGGTGCTTCCCGCTTTAGTTTTTGCTTATAAGCAGGAGGATAGAGTTATGGTCAGATTTGCCAAATGGAGGGCGTGGGAGAGCTTTGTACATGTCTGTGTGTGGAGTAAAGGTGGTCTAGAGTTTTTTTTTCCTCTGGTTGCACATTTAACATGCTGGTAGAAATTAGGTAGAACGGATTTAAGTTTCCCTGCATTAAAGTCCCCGGCCACTAGGAGCGCTGCCTCTGGATGAGCGTTTTCCTGTTGACTTATGGCATACAGCTCATTGAGTGCAATCTCAGTGTCAGCATCGGTTTGTGGTGGTAAATAGACAGCTACAAAAAATATAAATGGTAAATAGAGTGGTCTACAGCTTATCATGAGATACTCTACCTCAGGCGAGCAAAACCTTGAGACCTCCTTAGTATTAGATTTTATGCACCAGCCGTTGTTTACAAAAATACACAGACCGCCATCCCTTGTCTTACTGGAGTCAGCCGTTCTATCCTGCCGATGTAGCGTATATCCCGCCAGCTGTATGTTATCCATGTCGTCATTCAACCACGACTCAGTGAAACATAAGATATTACCGTTTTTAATGTCCCGTTGGTAGGATAACCTTAATCTTAGGTCTTCCAATTTATTTTCAAATGATTGAACATTGGCTAATAGGATTGATGGAAGAGGCAGTTTACTCGCTCGCCGTCGGATCCTTACAAGGTACCCCGACCTACGTCCACGATATCTCTGTCTCATGCAAATGATGGGGATTTGGGACTCGATATCCTTCGCGTCCGACTCGTTGAAGAAAAAATCTTCGTCCAATACGAGGTGAGTAATCGCTGTCCTGATATCCAGAAGCGCTTTTTGGTTATAAGAGACGGTGGCAGAAACATGTACAGAATAAATTACAAATAACGCGAAAAAACACACATAATAGCACAATTGGTTAGAGGGCTGTAAAACAGCAGCCATCTTCTCCGGCGCCACTTCTGGGGGGATCACACTGGTCGGACCGTCCATCAGCTCTCCCCCCTCTGCTAAGACTGACCAAAAAGGGGACATAGTCTTCGAGCTGATGGAAAAACTCAAGTCACACTGCTGAGGGACGGTCCGACTGTGAGATGCGGACCCTCTGATGCTCTCCCTCCACTGAGACTGACCATCAGATGCAGGCACCTTCAGTCCAGTAAAATAAAGAAAGCAAATTATTTCAACGTATGCTCACTCAGCTGTGCCTCACAAGTAAAACAACAAATGATGATCTATTACCAGTGTGCTCATATACCCTTGTTTTGAAATATAATTTTTAAATGTTCTGAGAAGAACAACATTGGCAGGGAAATTCAAGCATAGCCCAATATGCAGTGATAATGTATTGGGCCTATAGCCTACAGCACAAATAACTGTTTTTAATAGGTTAATGTTGCATAGCCTTATGTTTAAGTCATGTGAGCGGTAGATCTCAGCCTGCATTTTGACTAAGAAAGTGATCTCGGCTCAAAAAAGGTTGGTGACCACTGTTCTAACATGAATTGACTCGGGTGAGAATAATTATGTAAATTAGATATCTGTATTTCATTTTCAATAAATTTGCAAAAGTTTCTAAAAACATGTGTATCCAGAGAGTCAATCCAGAGCATTCTAAACATGCTCAATGGGTGACATGTCTAGTGTCTAGGCCATGGAAGAGCTGGGACAAAGGCCTTGAGGCCGGTACGTAAAGCTTGACAAAGAGAAGTGATACTAGCAAGAGCAGTGTGCGAGTTTCTTTTATCTCAGGCTTTAACACAACAAAATGTAGAAAAAGTCAAGGGATATAAATACTTTCTGAAGGCATTGTATGTATGGAAGGTTTCGTTCAAATCAAAAAGGGGTACTGTCAAAAGGTGATTAAAAATGGATTTACCCCTATGCAAAGCACTCTGTCACTCAGAAACTTCTTTCAGTGTCTGCCTGCCAGCTAGTTTTCTAGGCTAGTTAAGAATACTATAGTTATCACGTTTCACATTGGATTTAGTAAGACGTGTTTTGAATTCTGGTGCGGCTGCACACACAAGCTTGTTAGCTAGCTCTGGTCCAGGGCGTTGAGCTAGCCTCGGCATTGAGCCAACTATGACATTCAAAGTTCCTCCATTTTAGCCACTCCTCCGTAGGCATTTAGCTAGTATATAATTCAGTGATTTAATTATAAGCCTACTACAAATATCCTAGACACATTAAAATGCAGGTCATATCAAGATGCCCAGCGCTTCAAGCCAAGCCTCCTCCATGTCCACCGCTCTCTCTCACCATCTCCCTACGCTGCAAAATTTCAGTCGCATCTCGCGCCCAACACTTGTCTGTCATCAAGCATGTAAACAACTAGCTTGGCCGGTCCATAGAAAGCTGCTCTATCTGCAGATTCTGCCCTGATTGGTGGAGTAATTTAATAAGCTAAATGAAAAATTTCGATTTCACAAATTAAAAGGTACCGAAAGGAATTCTATTAAACCAGTTATTTTTTCTGGTTTGAACCGGTTCAGAACTTTATTATGTTGGTCGGAACAATGGAACAGAACAAAATAAATAGTGGTTCTGTTCAGAACGAAACTATTGGGAAAATAATTTCAGTTCCAACCCCTGCTATTGAGTGCAGGCAGTTTTGAAGCTGAAACATCATGTGTTTAATCTAGTCCTTGATTACATTTTTTGCTAACAAAATGTTTACGTTCAGGTTTATTTCCTTACCTCAAAGTTCTCTTTCCCATGATGCCTCAGCCTGGGCGGCGGCCTGTTGGGCGAAGAGACAGCTGTTCCAATTCCTGTCGTCCTCAGAGGCGGCGAAGAGGAATCTAGAACTGGAACGTTCTATTGGGATCACAGAACCGCGGTTCCCCTCAGTCTCTGGGTCCGGTAAGGCGTCTCGGATGTCGAGGAGGCCGGACGGTGAGATGGTGATGTTCTCTACGATAGGCGTGACCGAAGGGATGACGAGGTCTTTGTAGTGCAGTGGCGCCACCGTATTAGCATTGCTGCCGTTGATACAGGCTGTGGCTGAGATGCCAGAGAGAAAAGAGGCCATGGACAGAGCCAGGTCCCCACTCTTAGAGATGGACAGGATTCCTATTCCTGGACCCTGGACCTAGAGGAAGAGAGTAAAAAAAAAAAAAAAAAAATGTTTTATTGTCACAGGGGTTAAAGCAAAAAAAATACCATGACTGAAACTTAAGTCTATCTCAGATCGATTGTCTGGGGCCAAGTTAACCTCCCCTTTAATGTAGGAAGTCATGACCATCATGCTTTTTGGAAAGAGGATCATTTTGTTAATGTATTAAACTGCGGTTTTGACCAATTCCAGTCCCCTTGCTTAGGGTCCGGGATCCTCCTCGGGAGAATTTCTATGTAGAAGGACTGAGAAGCTCAGTTCTGGTGACTTTTGAAAAGTATATTCTACTAAAAAAATGCAGTTTGTAAAACATGTGAGTCCAAAATCACAGATGTATTGCAATGAAATTGGCATAAAACACTTAACCATTGCCTTGAGGACTCAAAACCCAAAATTAGGGACTTGTGACTTGACCTGAGCTGTGGAACTTGGGACTTTACTTTAGACTTGTCCATTATTACTTGGGACTTGACTCGAGACTCAAAGGTTAAGACTTGCAAAATTGTCACTTGGTCTCATCTCTGTTAGGTGGTCCCTGATGAATTTGCTAACACAAATGGGGTCCCGGCCCTAAAAAGGTTTGAGAACCCCTGGAGTAGAGCAAACAGCAGCCACTAGATGGTAGCATTTACACAGCTAACTAAATATTGAAGCATAGTGAGAGAAACCTCAAGGTGACATTTTCTTCCCATGGAGCAAATGGCCCACATTCACAATGTGTCTCAGAGTTAAGAGTGCTGGACATTATATGGACATGAGGAACCTGTTCCTAGATCAGCACTCCTAGTCTCAGATGTTTTATGAATATGGGCACTTATCTTTTTCCTCCACTAACCTGTGGCTGTTGCCTCAGGAAAGTGATGGCCTCTTCAAAGTACTCCAGATCAAAGTATTTAGGCACGGTTTTGGGCAGGTCCTGGAAGCCAGAGTAGGCCAGAGCCAGAACCACAAAGCCTTTGTTAGCCAGCAGACTTGCCCGGACCTCTGATATACCTCCACCCAGAGTATACACATCCAGTACACCGGGGAATGGACCCTGCCCTGTGAGGATGGGGGAATAAAAGAGGAATAGGAGAGAGAGAACAACAAGAGAAATGTAGGACTGTTACTGTTTTGTCACTCACTGCAGGTGGAGATGGTTTCTGGCCTACCTTTATAAAACCCATGCAATGCAAAGTAGGCTTTGTTATCTAATGCAAAGGCCTAGTGCCTCGATCTCATCGACAGCGTCATTGCATTTTGGTACACCAGAAGTTCATTCATTTCCAATGGAACGCTGCGTTTGCCTTGCAGCATTGCGTTGCAGAGGCAGTGCGTTATGTTTACATTTTTACATTTACATCATTTAGCAGACGCTCTTATCCAGAGCGACTTACAAATTGGTGCATTCAACTTATGATAGCCAGTAGGACAACCACTTTTTATTTTTTAAGGGGGGTGGGGGAAGAAGGATTACTTTATACTATTCCAGGTATTCCTTAAAGAGGTAGGGTTTCAAGTGTCTCCGGAAGGTGGTCAGTGACTTGACTGGGCTGAGCAGGAACTGTGCTTCCGTAGAGGTAGGGGAGCTAACAGGCCAGAGGTGGATGAACGTAGTGCCCTCGTTTGGGTGTAGGGTCTGATCAGAGCCTGAAGGTAAGGAGGTGCCGTTCCCCTCACAGCTCCGTAGGCAAGCACCATGGTCTTGTAGTAGATGCGAGCAGCAACTGGAAGCCAGTGGAGTGTGCGGAGGAGCGGGGTGACATGAGAGAACTTGGGAAGGTTGAACACCAGACAGGCTGCAGCGTTCTGGATAAGTTGTAGGGGTTTAATGGCACAGGCAGGGAGCCCAGCCAACAGCGAGTTGCAGTAATCCAGACGGGAGATGACAAGTGCCTGGATTAGGACCTGTGCCGCTTTCTGTGTAAGGTAGGGTCGTACTCTGCGAATGTTGTAGAGCATGAACCTGCAGGATCGGGTCACCGCTTTGATGTTAGCAGAGAACGACAGGGTGTTGTCCAGGGTCACGCCAAGGTTCTTTGCACTCTGGGAGGAGGACACAATGGGGTTGTCAACCGTGATGGCGAAATCATGGAGCGGGCAGTCCTTCCCTGGGAGGAAGAGCAGCTCCGTCTTGCCGAGGTTCAGCTTGAGGTGGTGATCCGACATCCACACTGATATGTCTGCCAGACACGCAGAGATGCGATTCGCCACCTGGTTATCAGAAGGGGGAAAGGAGAAAAATAATTGTGTGTCGTCTGCGTAGCAATGATAGGAGAGACCATGTGAGGATATGTGTGGTGCATACGTTGGATTTATCGAACGTATGAGTCAAACTGTATGCGTAGACGGCTTGACAGAAATGGTAGCAGAAGGTGAATGTTTAACTTTTGTTGCACACATATCCAGATTATGCTGCGTACCATTTTGCACAATGACGCTGTCCGTGTGATCAAGGCATAAGCCTATAGGCCTTCTAAACTGTAATTTGTGTTTTTCTTAGGAGAGCTCACACAACATATTCAGACACTTTTCAATCATCAATATAGGCCTTTGCTTAAAAAGGTATGTGTAGGCCTACAGTACATACAATCAATGGATTTCCATTTCCTTAGAACATTGTTTCTTAAACCTGGTCCTGTGCACCCAAAAATATAATTTCCCAATTCAGAGCATTTTGAATCGCCTACTAACCGGGTGGTAGAAAAAGGACTCCCCGAATTCTCCCTTTGTTCAAGGCCAACGGTATTCTCCTTACCCCTTCCGTCATGAACCGCCTCTCGTTGGTCTCTGTGGCCAAGAGATCACCTGTGTCCCCATGCAACACTTCTATGTCAACCATCATTGAACCCAACACATTTTTTTTAAACAGTTTGCTGTGTGGAGTCTCGGCCGCCATGGCCCAAAACAAGCCCATGGATTCAACTCCCGTGTAACTGCCGCCCAGAGATGGAGAGCGGCACAGGTCCACCTGTCCGCTAGGATCTGCAGCGACCAAAGCGGAAGCGCTGAAGGTGACCCCTTTATCATCCCTGAGTTTGGACCTCAACTCTACTTTCTGGTGCGGAGAAAGTCCATCTACCTTCACGTGCACCGGTTCGTCGAAGAAACAGCGAGGGCTGGGGAGAAGCCGGACGCAAACCTGTTGCGAATTCGACCTCAGTGTTGTTTGAAACCGTATAAACCATGTTTTTGAGAGAACTTCCCGGTAAGCCCGTTGGCGCAACATGACCCCAGATAGAACAAGGAGGCAGATGTTTCACCGGATGTATAAATCGGAAGCATCCGGTTGAAATTTCCACTCGGTTTTGACTAGATGGATACAGCGTTTGTCATAGTTGACTTTTCGTAGGTTAGGATAATTAACATAGCAGGTTAGGATACTTAGGTTAAGGTTAGGGATAAGCTAATATGCACTTTTGACGTTCATTTTACAAAAGTTGCCACATCTTCGCTATATCTCTTCTGTTCTAGCGATGACTTTTCCACTCCCCACCAAATATGGCGAAGTATCCTTGGCCGTGTTCGAGAGCATCAAAACGACAGCAGGCGACTGCCGGATCTACAAATCACCTTGCATCATAAATAAGGACTCTTTATAATTTGTAGGTCAGTCAGTCACAATGGTACATTGTGGTTTTGATCCTCTCGAACATGGTCATTGTCTTACGTCAGATCGCATCACTCCTACGCGACGCTCGTCCTTCAACCGATCTTGGGGTCATGGCTAGAGGGTATCCAGCTTTTGTCACATTAACGTCCGATTTGACTTTTCGTAGCAGTTTAGGAGAATTTACGCAGCAGGTTAGGAAAATGTACGACGCAGGTTAGGATAATTAGGTTAAGGTTAGGAAAAGGGTTGGGGTTAGCTAAAATGATAAAAAGTTCGGCTTTTGACGTTAACTTGACAAAAGCTGTCTCTCTTCTAGCCATGACCCGATCTTGGTCTGTTTCGCGATCATGGCTAGAAGGAATCAAGCTTTTGTAAAATTTACATTTTAGTTAACCCTAACCCTTTTCCTAACCTAAACCTAATTATCCTAACCTGCTACGTTAATTCTCCTAACCGGCAGAATATATCTATATCGTCAGCTAATACAGGACTAGTAAAGGCCAAGTGCACTACTTTTGTGAACAAATTTAAACTAAATGTATTGGAGTGTTTACCAGCATTTGTAACTTGAGTCTGAGCGTTAATCTGATAATGCAAGTGGAATATACAAATGCTTGATAGATGTTTTCCAGTTTCTTGAAATACTTTGTAAATGCAACTTATTTCTATGTGAAAAATTAAATGCTCTATTCATTCCTTTTTCCAGACCCTCTTATCCAGAGAAACTTACAGTAGTGAGTGCATACATTTTCATACTTTTTCGTACTGGTCCCCCATGGGAATCAAACCCACAATCCTAGCATTGCAAGCACCATGCTCTACCAACTGAGCCCCATCATCACATCACCAGTGGTGGAAAAAAGTACTCAATTGTCATACTTGAGTAAAAGTAAAGATACCTTAATAGAAAATGACTCAAGTAAAAGTCAGCCAGTAAAATACTACTTGAGTAAATGTCTAAAGGTATTTGGCTTGAAATATTCTTAAGTATCAAACGTAAATGGAATTGCTCAAATGTACTTGAATATCAAAAGTAAAAGTATAAATCATTTCAACTTCCTTATATTAAGCAAACCAGATGGCACAATTTTATTTTTTATTTTTTATTGACGGATAGCCAGGGGCACACTCCAACACTCAGACATAATTTACAAAGGAAGCATTTGTGTTTAGTGAGTCCGCCAGATCAGAGGCATTAGGGATGACCAGGAATGTTCTCTTGATAAGTGTGTGAATTGGACCATTTTCCTGTCAAAATGTAACGAGGACTTTGGGTGTCAGGGAAAATGTATGGAGTAAAAAGTACATTATTTTCTTTAGGAATGTAGTGAAGTAAAAGTTGCCAAAAATATAAATACAGTGAGGGAAAAAAGTATTTATTTGATCCCCTGTTGATTTTGTACGTTTGCCCACTAACAAAGACATGATCAGTCTATAATTTTAATGGTAGGTTTATTTGAACAGTGAGAGACAGAATAACAACAAAAAAATCCAGAAAAATGCATGTCAAAAATGTTATCAATTGATTTGCATTTTAATGAGGGAAATAAGTATTTGACCCCTCTGCAAAACATGACTTAGTACTTGGTGGCAAAACCCAGAGGTCATACGTTTCTTGTAGTTGGCCACCAGGTTTGCACATATCTCAGGAGGGATTTTGTCCCACTCCTCTTTGCAGATCTTCTCCAAGTCATTAAGGTTTCGAGGCTGACGTTTGGCAACTCGAATCATTCAGATGTTCATTGGCAAACTTCAGACGGGCCTGTATATGTGCTTTCTTGAGCAGGGGGACCTTGCGGGCGCTGCAGGATTTCAGTCTTTCATGGCGTAGTGTGTTACCAATTGTTTTCTTGGTGACTATGGTCCCAGCTGCCTTGAGATCATTGACAAGATCCTCCCGTGTAGTTCTGGGCTGATTCCTCCCCGTTCTCATGATCATTGCAACTCCACGAGGTGAGATCTTGCATGGAGCCCCAGGCCGAGGGAGATTGACAGTTATTTTGTGTTTCTTCCATTTGTGAATAATCGCACCAACTGTTGTCACCTTCTCACCAAGCTGCTTGGCGATGGTCTTGTAGCCCATTCCAGCCTTATGTAGGTCTACAATCTTGTCCCTGACATCCTTGGAGAGCTCTTTGATCTTGGCCATGGTGGAGAGTTTGGAATCTGATTGATTGATTGCTTCTGTGGACAGGTGTCTTTTATACAGGTAACAAGCTGAGATTAGGAGCACTCCCTTTAAGAGTGTGCTCCTAATCTCAGCTCATTACCTGTATAAAAGACACCTGGGAGCCAGAAATCTTTCTGATTGAGAGGGGGTCAAATACTTATTTCCCTCATTAAAATGCAAATCAATTTATAACATTTTTAACATGCGTTTTTCTGGATTTTTTTGTTGTTATTCTGTCTCTCACTGTTCAAATAAACCTACCATTAAAATTATAGACTGATCATTTCTTTGTCAGTGGGCAAACGTACAAAATCAGCAGGGGATCAACTACTTTTTTCCCCTCACTGTAGTAATGTACAGATACCCAAAAAACGACTTAAGTAGTACTTTAAAGTATTTTTACTTAAGTACTTTACACCACTGCACATCACATCATCCCATTACTGTATTGTGCATTGTTTTTCTTCATGGTGATGGAAAGTCTACAGGTACAAACCTAGATGACCAGCCTATGTACAATACAGTAATGTACATTTACATTAAGTGGTTTGTAAGAATGGTAAATTAATACTACACAAAAAGTGGTTGTTTCCATGTTATTTGATCAGGAAAAATATTTAATTTGATGTGGATGTTTTGCGTCTTTGCCCATAACTTTGCACCTTTTGATGTAAATGTTTGAGGACAGGGTTTTGTTCTTTCTGGATTCCATTAGAATGACAATCACAGAGAAAGGGGTAGGGTTGTAGAAAAATAGGGGTAGGGTTGTAGAGAATCGAAGGACCATGAATGTAGTAAGAAAACTTAGGTACTGGCTTAAGGCCGGTAGCAACCACTACAGAATGTCCGTCAGAACAAGGATGAGGCGGATGTCCAGGTTATGGAGAGTTTAATGGAAGAAGATGTCCACATTCACACACACACACATCTGACCACTCATGGTTCAGTTAACTGAGAATCATGTCCAGTGGGAACTGACATTAACTATGTGGTTGTTTCGATAAACGCACAATTAAATATCAGACATACAGGGATTCAGTCCACAGGAGGAAAAGTTCAGCAGGAGGGAAAACTGGGGAAAGCACGTTTCTGACCACACAGTGTGCTGGTGTCATAGACTAACTGAAACTAAAGTCCCGGGAATCAAGGCCACTGATAGGCTGAAGGAGATGTGGTGATAAGTATTTGGCGTGACCTTGACCAATAAAACACTAACAAAAGTGGGGGTCCTCTGAATGGGAGACTAAGCTGCCCAACTAGAACTAACCAGAAGGGATGGCTAGAATCAGCTGACTGAAGCTGGCCGTTTTGACAGCCGCTCCCAAATGTGTTGTACAGATTTGAAATCAACAACAAAGGGCAGCAAGGGCAGACAGTCACTGAGAGGAATGTCGTGAATACTTGCGGTCATCCAAAGAGGCAGAAATGTAGACCAGACGGGCGACTGGTCCAACAGTAGGCCTGTCTTTTGCTGCACCTGGCCGCCCCATCACAAAGGTGCTTGTGGTCACCAGACCAGGGCGAGTGATACTGTAGGGGCCAGTGCAGGCTGTGAAGCAGTTCTGGAAGAGGGGAGCCAACAAGATGCGGTGGTGGATCCGGTGACGGCTGCCTCCTCTGCCCATGTACAGGCAAAAGGAGTACCTCAACGGTGAGGGCTTTTAAGACCCCCAGGGGAGGAGCAGGAGTAATATTGACCCCAGGCACGGTGTCAGCTGAGGACACCAGGACGGGAGACCACAGGGCCACAGCGGCAGAGCTCGATGAGGGTTTCAGGACTGGAGACCGCAGGGATGCAGCAGCCGAGCTCGATGAGGACCCTGGGACTGGATACGTAGGCAGCTGGAGCCATGAAGCAGCAACGGGTGGTGGCCACCGGACAGGCCGGACCCAGGCAGAGGGACCAGGTGAGGGCCCCGGATCAGGATGTTGGGCCGCAGCAGCAGAGCTCGATGATGGTCTCAGCACGGCAGGTGGCGGAGGTTTGGCTGCAGGTCTCGACGAAGCTCTCGGGACTAGAGACCACAGGTCCACAGCAGCAGAGCTCGATGAGGGTCTCCGGACTGCAGATGACGAGGCCGTCCCATCGGCGACAGGAGAAGCCCCAGGGACAGGAGTTGGGGTCGGCTGGAACTCCACAGCAGCGATGGGCGGAGATCTCAGGACAATAGACTGCCGGACCACCACGTCAGCAAAAGGAGAGGGCTCTGGGACCGGAGCTGAGATCAGCTGGATCCCCCTGACGAGCCGGCTGAGGCATGGGAGCCCGACGAGCCGGCTGAGGCATGGGAGCCCGCCGAGCCGGCTGAGGCATGGGAGCCTGCCGAGCCAACCGAGGCTTGTGAAACCTCTGGAGCCAGCTGAGGCATGGGAGCCTGACGAGCTAGCTGAGGCCAGCTGAGGCATCTCCGGTTGCTTCGGCAGCGGCAGCCGGACCCGACGTCAC